GCTCACCCCGGCCGCGCTCCCCTGGGCGCTCGCCTGTGAAGTCGCTGGGATTTCTCATCACCCTGCTGCAAACGGGTTTCCAGACGCCAGCGCGGGCTGAAATTCTTCCCCTCTGACAGGGCGGCGAGGACGCAGCGCTCTTTCTGTGCTGTGAATGGATTTTCGCGACTTCTCGAGAAGGCTTCGCGGCGATCCTCATTAAATTTTATCACCTCGGTGCCAGCCTTTCAGCATCTCTTCACGGTGGATTCTCCCCTCACACATCGGCCCTCTCGCCGGCTCGCCCTGCCCCCGCAGTCGGCTGGCCGGCCGCTCCCGCGCCCCTGGCCCTCTGGCCACCCCTGCCGCTCCTCGGCGGACAGACCATCTATTCCTGACCCCTCTCAAGATGATCCACGACGTCTCGCTGCATCTGGGAAAATTCTGCACAGGGTGCTAACGCGTCGTTTGGGATTTCGGGGATTTCGGGGCCGGGATGCCACGATGCTGCCCCCGACAGTTCCCGCAGGAAAACAGTCCTTCCTGTCGGGGTCCCCAAGCCGCCGCTGGTGCCGCGCGGTGCTGGCTGCGGGGCTCGCTGCACGCACGGCCCCCTCTACGGTATCGGGGTGTCGTGCAGTTCCCCGCCATAATGGTCTTCCCCCTCCTCCTCTAGATCTGCCTGCCGCCTCTCTCCGCGCCCCCTGCTCCCTCCTTCACGGTTCCAACAGCACTTCTGCTTCCCACGGAAGCAAGCAGGGCTGTGGCTCTGGCCTCTGCCCACGCCCATCCGAGTCCTCCTTGCCGCCACGCAGCTGCACAGCCTTTGCGCCGCCCGCCGCATTTCCTCACAGACGTCAGCGCGGTCTGACCCGAGGCTCCGGGACACCCCAGGGCCGCCGCCTCCCGCACCCAGCCCGCCCTGTGCTCCCGCTCGCTGGCTGGGTGCCGGACACGCGGCACCTGACGCCGTCGTGAGACCGGCGCGGGGGGAGGCGTCTCAGACTCGCAGGCGCTGACGCCGCGGAGACGTAGAGAGTGACGGACGAGCGGGCGTGTGGCGAGCCGAGGCCCTGGCCATTTTCCTCCGGGGCGTTCTATGTGAGGGGTGGGGAGCCGAGGGAGGCAACCCAGCCTGGGACGGAGCACTCAAGAATTCAGGGCTGACAGGAAGTAGCGGGACGCGCAGAGGGTTGAAGACAGGGAGCCGGGACCCCCGCAGGGGAAGGCCGGAGGCAGCGAGCACGCGAGGGGGTTGGCTCAGCAGGCAAAGGCGAAGCGGCTTTCGGCCCGGCGGCAGCTTTTCGAGTCCGTGTTCTGTCCATAAGCCTCGAGAGCCACCTTATTACGGGCGAGGCAGCCCATTTCCAGAGCACCCCAGAGTCGGCAGCAGTTCCCTGGGCGGAGGGCCGGGGCGGGCAGCGGCGAGCGCCTCCTCTTCCCATCTGCCCGCACGGGCGGGCGGCGGCTCTGGGCAGCCTCCCTCCGCTCTCCTGTCAGCCAGGTGGCACGGGAACGCCGCGCTTTCTCCTGACCCGTTTCCGCAGCTGTCGGGTGACGACGACGGGCCCGTGTGTGGCCAAGCTGTGAAGAGGAAGAATCTGGAAAACTCGGGTGCTGTGTGGGCTGAGACTCGGGGCGGGTGCTGGGAAGGGCCGGCTGGCGGCCACAGCGGCCGTCTCCCTGGTGGCCCCCGCGGGCAGGCGCGCGCCTGTGGGGAGCCCTTGCGGGCACGGGGAGGGGCCGGCACGGAGGTCAGAGCTGCCAGGCACACGGGCAGCCATCACCCCTTGTGCCCCATTTCTGAGGCTCCAGCTCAGCGAGATGGACAGTGCTGGGCAGGCTCCTCCATGGACTGCCCCTGCAGCCCCTAACCCTCGAGCACCGTCACAGGCCCGGCTCTTCCGTGGCACGGAAGGTCTCACCAGGCAGCCTCCTCCGTAGGGCCAGCGCCGCCTCAGCCCCGCCGGCCGCACACAGGCTCGCGAGCATCAGCACTCAGGGAGGTGACGTCCGATCCAGCCGGACACGCGCCCAAGAAGGACGGTCACGGACCCCGCAGCCCAGAAACCTGCAAGCCCGAGCCCCGGAAACAGGACACGGGGGTGGGGGCAGCACTCGCCCTCCTGGCTCCCCGCTCTGTCCCTGCCCGCTGCCCTGGCGTGGCCTTGCTGCACCCCACTGTTCCTCTGCTCCCCATCTTCAGACGCAGAATCCCCTTTTAACATAAAAGTTTGGTGTTTTGAAGGATGATCTTATTACAAAATTCAGGCAAAAATCAAGGAAGAAAACAGGGGAGGGAGGCGGTGGGGTGGCAGGCCGCGGCGCACAGGCCTGAGCAGCTGGGAGCCCGAGTCCTGACACCTGCCAGCGGGTCTCGGAGCCCCGGCCAGGGGTGACCCCCAGGGCGCAGCAGACTCTGCTGTCTCCCCGCTGCTCCCCTCAGCGGTGGACTTTGCCAATCCGCCTGTTCTGCTCCCCACTCTGTCTCCGCAGAGTCCTCTCACCACACATCTGGCCTGTACCCCAGTTCTGTGTGCATAAACACATAAATCTTTAAATGCTGCGAGTACGCAGCGGGGTCCCTCAGGCCGCCCCTCAGATCCACTCCTGTGCCGGCCCAGCCCTGGGCCGTGTGTTCTGGGAACGGCCTCTGGAAGGGCCCCGTGGATACTCTCGCCCCTTGCAAGGTGTGTGGCTGTCAGGGAGGCTTCTGTTCCAGGGAAGGGGGCTTTGCCACGGAGCATCCCCTGGTTCTTAGCTCCCTTTCCTAAAGTCTGGGCGGAGATTTTCGGGGGGCTCCAACACACCTTGCACCCTCAGGAGAGACCCCCGCGGCGGGAGGGAGCTCTCAGCAGCCCCGGGGGGCCGCTTGTCGCAGGAACCGCTCCTCTCTAAGGTTGGGGGCCCCGCTGGTAACCCCCTTCAGCACCCTGCACTTCAAAGGCTTTGGAAGGGGGAATCAGGGCAGCATGAAAGCCAAACGTGGCTCCTGAACTCCTGGGTAAAGTCACAGATTAAAAGAGGAATGTAGCACTCGCAGCAATTTAGGCTTCAGGAGGTCATCTCTGCGCCAGAATTAGCACTCGGGAAGGAAGAATATAGGTCGGCTAAATTGCTTGAGTCCGTTTTCTTTCTTTTTTTAATTTTTACATCAAAGAACCATATACTGTGTTCACCTAACTAGGTTGCTTGTCTTTCCGGGGCAACAGTGGGCTCACCCCCGGAGCCGTCCGGCCCAGCCCGGCCCTGGGTGGGAGCACAGCCCCGCCGGCGGCCCCCGCACGGCCCTCCGGGCCCCAGCGCTCTATGTCCGTTTTGCTACCGACAGGTCGTCAGGCCACACCGACTCCTGGAAACGTCCGATCTCGGGCAGCAAGCGACGGCATGAGGCGTTCCACGGAGTGCGTGGACGCGCCCACTTGGTTCCTCCAGGGGCGGTCGCCTCACCCGCCTGAGGCCCCGGTCTGCCGGGGAGCCGCTGGTGCTGTCTCCAGGCGGGCGCCGGCAGCGTCACCTCGGGCTGCAGCCCCGCGATGCCCCTCAGCACTGCGCCACGCACCCTGGCCCCTGGCCCCTGGCCCTGACGGACGGCTCCCGCAGCTTCGCGGGCGGCTACGCGCCGGGGCGGCCGTCGGCTCCGGACGGGGCCTGGGCGCCTGCCTTCACTCCAGGCCCTTGTGCTCAAACGGGGGTGACTTCCTAGGCACATTTACTGCTGGGCCTCAATGGGCGGCAGGCGGCCGAGAGTGGGCAGTGGGCTGTGGAACTGAGAGGGCTTCAGCGCCTCCGCGTAGGAGGCCGCGGGGAGGGACGGGCCTGGGCCCGGGCCCGGGCCTGCGGTCCGGGCTCCTCTGCCGTCAGCTCCGGACACGGAGGCCCTGCCCGGGCGAGGCCAGCAGGCGCCTCCGTGGAGCTCAGCCCTCCTGTCTCGGCTCCCTCACCCAGCCGCCCGCTTTGCCCTGGGGCCTCCGGAGACCCGCGACGGGCAGCTCTTCCCTGGCGCACAGCGAACCGCCCCGCCCTGGGAATGGTCTCGGGGGGATGCGCCGCTTTCTCTCCGGGTCACTGGCGTCTGGCAGTGGACACGGACAGTCACTGGCCAGGGCTCTGGCTAGGCAAGAGCGAAGACATGACGGGGTTCGGAGTGAAAACGGGGTGCACACCCGCACTCAGTCGACCCAGACACATCGCTCAGAGTCGGAAGTCTGGGCCTCTTTTACTTGCGGGAGCAAAGTTTGGGGTGCTCAAGGGTGCTCAAGGAAATGGGGTGAAGCAACAGCCGGAAGGCAGTGACCGGCGGGGGAGCTGACGCTGCCCTTGGTGGTGCTGGGAAGAGACCGGGGCGCTTGCCCGGCAGCCCCGGCGCCCCGTCGCGCCCCCACAGCACAGGCAGCGGAGATGCCTACTGCTCCCGCTGCTGCTGGGGCCTCTCAGCCTTGGCGACGCACAGCCGAGCCCGGGGCGCGGTGGCCTGGTCCTGCGGCCTGCCCAGGGCTCCGCTTCCCGGGATAAGGGGTGTAGAAGCAGCCGCTTTGGATGGAAGCTTCGAGGCCCGAGGCGGGGCCTGGCGCCCCGCCTGGCACTGGCCTGTCCAGCGCGTCCGCGACGCTGCTGCCGGCGCCTCCCTGCCCAGCTGCCACCGGCTGCCACCGGCTGCCACCGCGGGGCTGAGTGGAAACGCTGTGGAGGTGTCTCCCCTGCTAGAACCTTGGAACCCAGAGGCTCTTTCTTCCTGTCTTTGAGCACCAAGCACCAAGCCCCAAGCCCGGGCTTGATATACAGCCTCCGTCACGGGAGGCCGCCAGCTCAGAGGCGAGGGCTGAGGCGGCCAGCTAGAAAGGGCGTCTTGCTGATGGACACTGGGGTCAGGCGCCCCGTGCGCCGGGAGCCGGGCCTGGGGTCAGGGGCCCCGTGCGCCGGG